AATACACTTGGCGGTGCCGGTGACCCAAATTTGGGTCGGTTTTTCCCCCAAAATGACACCTAGGGAGCGTCGTCGCTGCCCGGCTGTGCCGCAAAACCACAAACGAGACACGACAGCAGTTAAAAAAACAAAAAAAAACAACCCCAAAAGATGACAATTCAAAGAGAAATACGGCCCAGAGGGGGCCCATCCCCCCCTCCCACACCTCCCCCAAAAATATCTGCCCCAAACCTGTAGAAAATGGGGGAAAAAAAGCCCATTTTCTGCTTCAGTTTTTACCGCTTCCCGCCTAGGAGAAATTTGGGAAATTTTGGGGTTGCGCTCAGGAGGGAGGGGTGGGAAAACTTCGTTAAAGCTCATCCTAATTAGGTGGGAGATTGATTTTTTTTTTTTTTTTTTTAATTGGCTTCCCTCTGCCCCACAAAATCTGTGGGGTGGCGGTGGGCGCCGGTCCCCGCTCTGCACCTCAGGGAAGGGGTACCTCTTCCCGCTGGAAAAAGATGGTAATTTGGTTAAAAAGGATTAAAAATGTAAAGGGGGGGATGTCCCCCTGATCCCCTAATTAGCTCGTTAATTAGCTGCCGAGGTGGGAGGGTCAGGGCAGGAACAACCCCCCCCAGTGATGGGTCTTTGAGGTCAACCCAGTTTGGGTGTTGGGCGAGCGGCTGGGGAGGTTGGGAGGAGGATGGAGGTGGAGGTGTCAGCTAGGGTCCCTTATGCCCTAATTAGCGAGATCGTTAATTAGCCACTGATGATGAGCAGCCTCAGGTGGGAACAAGGCCCCCCCCAACTATGGCTCTTTGAGGCCAACTCCAGTTGGGTGTTGGGCGAGCGGCTGGGGAGGTCGGGAGAAGGATGGAGCCATGGCACGAGGGGGAATTCCCCATCCACTAATTAGCCAGGTCATTAATTAGCTGCCAAGGCTGGGCGGGACTGGGCAGGAACGAGCCCCCCCCCAGTGATGGGTCTTTGAGGTCAACCCCAGTTGGGTGTTGGGCGAGCGGCTGGGGAGGTCGGGAGGAAGATGAAGCCATAGAATGAAGAGGACTTTCCCATCCTCTAATTAGAGAGATCGTTAATTAGCCACCAAGGCTGACCGGCTCTGGGCAGGAACAAGATCCCCCCCCAGTGATGGGTCTTTGAGGTCAACCCAGTTGGGTGTTGGGCGAGCGGCTGGGGAGGTCGGGAGGAGGATGGAGCCACAGAATGAAGAGGACTTTCCCATGATCTAATTAGAGAGATCGTTAATTAGCAACCAAGGCTGACTGGCTCTGGGTGGGAACAACCTCCCCAGTTACCGGTCTTTGAGGTCAGCCCAGTTGGGCGTTGGGCGAGCGGCTGGGGAGGTCGGGAGCAGGATGGAGCTGTGGCCCACAGATGGAGTCCCTCATCCCCTAATTAGATCATTAATTAGCCACCAA